TTTAATCATCACTGAGATCATGTAACAAATGCATGTAGCTTATATTTACAACAAAAAGATTGTGGTAACGTGTCGCAAAAAGCTCGCGCACGCATTGTTACACATTTTGTGGCGTAATCCAGAGGATCCTCGCTTTTAACATGGTAGAATGTGACGTTTTTGAGAAAAATGTACACACATGAAAATCCTTTCGTCCTCCACATTTACCTTTATATCTCAAAACATTTTAGACGAATAACTCTGATATCATATATATATTGTTAATGGGCTAGGAGCATCAGAAAACACGAATCAATTGAAATTTTAGGTGAAATAAATATACGTGTTGCTGTGCTTGAAAATAGGCGAATGGCGTAGATTAGCCCTATTTTAATGAATTTTGAAAACCTTTCGTCCTCCACTTTTCCACATATAACAGAAAACACATACTTTTGTGAACAAAATCAACTATTTATTAATAAACTAGAGTTTAGGAGCAAAATAATCATGTATGATTTATTAAAAATTGATCTCGTATTTTTTGTTTAATATACACCTGAAAAGTTGAAGGTACCAAAAAATGAGCAAAAAAGGTCGCTGTCAACAGATTCTATTTTTCAGACTCTATGACGTCACAATATGGGACGCTTACTAAAATTCATCCTTTGAAATAAAACTTCCATCTACCTTTATCAAGACGAAAAATAAGTATAATAGTCATATATTGTTTGAGTTATGAGCGTTTAAAGACGAAAAATAATTCAAAATGTAACGTGTCAACATGGGATATTTGCCAGATGTTTTGGTAAAAAACTCTTTTTTAAAAACGAACGCGCAAAAATTGTGAAAGGAGTGTAGTTGATCTAAAATCTTCATCGAAACAGCTTTAAAATGATATATAACTTTAATTAGAATATTATCTTATAATCCGGGGAATCAAAGTTACATTCACGCGATACCCTTAAAAAACAAATGCGCCACCTTTTTGCAACACGTCTGTACAATATGTGTAAATTGTGCCTTGCAAACAAGCTGATCATTAGTACACAGCGTCACTGGTGATCCGCTCGATTACGAAACGGTTCGGTAACAAAATGTCGGAATGTCGAAGGTACGATTTTTCTTTTTTCCTTATTTTAGGCAGAATCCCCACGACGTTTTTTCTCACAAACGTGTATCAGTATCATACACTCCCCTCCATAAGTTTGGCAACCTTAGCTTCCCCATTGAACTACGTGTTAAAGCCTCTTTACCTTTGAATTTTTATTTACTTAACCTGCGATGAAAATACTTATACCATTGATGAAAACGTAGTTTGACTTTTTTCCAATACCAAATTTTCTCAATTTTTTTCCTCAGTTACAATAAGTCGAAAATTGATGATAAATTTGATGAATTTTTGAAAATCGACATTCCCATGTTAACCAATGGGAAATGGTAGGTTTGCCGCAAGTCATATGACAGAATATCTATTCATCCGAGTCCTTGCAAAAAATACGAGTTAGGCAGAAAATTAAATTTGCTAACTTTATTCAACAAAAAATTGATATTTTTTTCTGGTTCAACAAAGTTATAGGGCTTAAAGTCAAAATTGTTTTTAAAAAAACTCTCCCATTGAAATAACTTAACACAGGAGGCGAAAAATTATTTTCAAAAATGACTTTCAAGCGCTGTAACTTTAGTATTCATTAAATTAACTAAACACTTAGTATATAAAAAGTCAGACAATTCAATTATCTATATAAAAATACTTTTTGCTGAATCTTTTACTGAAAAGATATCCTGATTTCTGATTTGCCCCGAACCCTCCATTTCCCATTGGATTACATGGGAATGACGATTTTCAAAAATTCATCAAATTTATCATCAATTTCGGCCTATTGTAATTGAGGAAAAAATTGATAAAATTTGGAGGTATTGGAAATAAAGTCAAGTTACGTTTCCATCAATATTATAAGTTATTTCATCGCCGGTTAAATAAATAAAAATTCAAACGTAAAGAGGCTTTAACACGTAGTTCAATGGGGGAGCTAAGGTTGCCAAACTTATGGAGGGGAGTGTATGTTTTAGCAAATGTACACGTAGCGAAAAAAATAGTTCAGAAGACAACATTAGTCGATTTAATTCCTCACTTAAGTTACATAAACGGTTTGGGCAGAGACATATAAAACGTTATTATATGTCTCTGGTTTGGATTAAAGTGCAAATCTTTTTCGAAATACCGAGTGGATCACCAGAGAACGTGTAACTTGCTATAACTTGCTACATGGTAACTTCACGGAATAACACAAATCCCAAAGAATCTGAAGCGTCACCATATAATGTTTAGAATCGTAAACGAAAGCATCAAAGAAATAAAAGATAAAAATTCTGAAAATTTTACACATTGTCAATTAATTGGTCATCCTTTGAATGGTAACAATATAATTGGAAAAAAATAATTTCATCTATATTGCTAAATAGAAAACACATCAAACACTTGTTTTGTTCTTGATATCATGTTTCCAGAGTGAAATGAAACATCTTTCCGAACCTCATTGGAACAAAACGACATAAACACAACATGTTTAGGTCTCTCAATATTATAATTGTACATACAAAGGAGATTTTGGTTGATTTTAAAAAAGTATCTTGTTAATGAAATAAAAGGTTTATCTTGATTTTTATCTATTTTGGGGGAATTTTGTTTTAATTTTTTGAATACTTTTTTAAAATCAACCAAAAATTCCTTTGTATAACTATAATATTGAGTGGTCTAAAAGCATATTGTATATGCTATTTTCTTCCAACAAGGTTCGGAAAGACATTTTATTTCATATTCAAGAATTGGTAGAAAGGAGCAAAAACAATTGCACTAGAAAAACAAAAAATGTTATCAAAAACAGTTATATGAAATATTTCTAAATAATTTTTCGCATTAAATTGTTGTCAATGAGTCAACATTACATAAAATACCGTGTTTTTACAGAATGTTTTTAATGATTGGTTAAAGAGAAAAACATTGTTGAATATCCATATCGATACCACTCCTTTGCATCCGTCATTCACACCTTTCACCTATGTGTGAATCGTGCAGTATGTACATGTATAAATAAACAACTTACATAACTTTTTGTTTTTTTACCCACTCAGCCCTGGTTCCCAGGTGTGAGGTCTGGTGTTATGACACAAGCAATGGAATAAACATGTACGTACACATACTAGACGCCAAGTACGTAATTAGATCTTTTTAATGGGATAAATGTTTCTCTTAAAACAATTTATTCCGAAGCAAAAATAATAGTGAAACCCCCTGACATTTTTATTTTACCTTGGGATAAAAGTGCACCTGTTAATTCATCTTTATGTCTGTTATACCTCACCCTATGCAGACAGAGCCTGTGGGAAATATTGGGTGCGGAGCAAATGAGCGGAGGGTGCGGAGCTAACGGTTATTTTTGAATTTAAATTTGGGATATTTCTGAAACTAAGCCGTTTTGGGACTTCAAATATACCAAGATATGTGTATTTGACACCAAATATCAATACAATTGTGAAAATAGTAGCGCAATTCATTCTATAGCGACGCAGTGTGCCTTAAACCTTTCCCAGACCTATATATTTTGAAATTATCCTTTTAATACTGAGTCCCCAGCATTCATAAAAAATGGTGTTCAAGGTGCACTATCTATACAAATTATTTTTGCATCTTGGAAGCCAGGCAGTATCTGTGTGATTTTATAAAAATTCGGAAATTTTTTCAGATATGAGCCCCCTCTAAATATTGGGTGCGGAGCAGCTCCATAAACGTAGCTCCGCACCCAATATTTAGAGGGGGCTCATATCTGAAGAACATTTCCGAATTTTTATAAAATCACACAGATACTGCCTGACTTTCAAGATGCAAAAATAATTTGCATGGGTAGTGTATCTTGAACACCATTTTTTATGAATGCTGGGGACGCAGTATTAAAAGGATAGTCTCAAAATATATAGGTCTGGGAAATGTTTAAGGCATACTGCGTCGCTATAAAATGAATTGCACTACTATTTTCACAATTTTATTGATATTTGGTGTCAAATACACATATCTTGGTATATTGGAAGTCCCAAAACGGCTTAGTTTCAGAAATATCCCAATTCTAAATTCAAAAATGACCGTTAGCTCCGCACCCTCCGCTCATTTGCGCCGCACCCAATATTTCCCACAGGCTCTGTCTGCATAGGGTGTACCTGAGACTCACATAAAATATGTAAGTCTCAGGTTATACCAACAGTCAGATTTTGACTCTGATTCATCGGTTTTATGATATGAATTAATACTTAGCATGGTTTGACTTAATTAATAAGGCCAATAATGCATTGCCTTGGCCCTTGCTGTGTATGTTAAACATGTTTTGATGAATATGATAAACAAACCTTTAAACCTAAACATTTTTTAGATAAATTGATTGCATTCATTGCCTCACTTCAATTTTGCCTCACCTTTTGTAATTTGCCTCAACTCAATTTTGCCTCACATATTAAAATTTGCCTTGACTCAAATTTTGCCTCACTTATTCAAATTTGCCTCGCCTTATTCTAGATCCTGGCTACACTTCTGTGACACCTGTCAATTCCCATTGAAAAATCAGTAAAATGTCCACAAGCATGTACATTTAAAACCCTACCCCATTATGGTGGTCATGGTGAGAGAAATCAAACGTTATCAATAATGCCAATCATTCAATATATACAATTTTGAACTTTACCTTCGTGTGAACGCCAGCCTTGATCAAATAACCTAGTAAATGACTCTTACATGATATAAGATAATAACAATCTCAAAATAAATAAACCAAATATTCAAATAAATACTCCAGCCTGATTTTGATAAATTACACTTAAATTAAATCCAAAAATTGGCATCGGAAACTGATGTATTGTAGATATTCAAAACAACATAATTTTACACGAATTCATACCAAGTAATATAAATAAAATCGAGACGCTTTTTTATTCCAAATTTCAATTTGATTTATTATATATTAACGCGAACCTACCTTTTAAGATAAAAAGAGAAACGATGACAATAAGTAAGTTCCATTTATAATCATTGGATCCTCCTGGCTTCAAGTAAAGCATCACTGATAGTGGAAGTCTCCTATGAACGTTGTTCTTTTTAAGATGCGTGTACCTGCACAAGGCGTACTCACGATCCAACACGTATCTCTTCACTTATCATATAATTAAATATTTTATATCAAATTCTGAAATTCAGAGCTACAGATATATATGCTAAATTTACATATAGTTTTTTTCTTCCGCAACATATATAGCCTAATTAGACTACTCTAACTATTTGTTTTAATCTAATTTCAGCTTTTCAAAGACATTTCAATTTTATCGTTATATATATTTATTCATGATGTCGTCCTTATTGTATTTATCAGGAACTCTTGCTCTGGTCACTTTGCTCATTGGCTTAGTAGTATGGTCTATATATATTCAACTCTTTATATTCATTAATTTCCGTCCGGATGCTGTCATCAAAATCTATTATAATCAAACGAGTACAGTGCTCGTAAGCACCGACGTCATGGAATGGTTATAATCAAATGATACGACTTGAGGACCATACAAACTCATTAAACACGGACGGTGTGAAAAAAGCATAATTTCCATGACAGACTTTAACACCTACGTCCAAACCCCTTCTATGCGTGGTAGGTTTAATTCTTATCTGAAAGACTTCCAGAGAGCTAGTGAGAGGTCAACATCAAGCAATTATTAGATGAAACTTTCATCTTGAGGCGCGAAGTGAAATTGGTACCATTATCATGTGGAACAACATCTTGGATTTCCAAGGTATGATGTTTTCATTGATTGAAAATCAAACTGGGAAACGAGTATGGTGGAACAATGCAAAAAGTTGAAAACGCACTCGAGCAGATCAGATTGGAGTATGTAGTTTGATTTGATTTGACAGCTTGATTTTCGACTGAGTTAGAGAATACTCTTTTGATTCAGATATTTGAATTTTGATTCTTAAAAGAGAGTCTCGACTTCCCTAATGTACTAGACTCTAACTCTTGAGTATAGACAGTGGGTTTCCAAGTGACTATGATATCCCACTTAAAGGCCTTGTGCAAAGTTTGCAAATATAGTTCATTCACATATTACTTGTCATGACTTGAAAAACTATGACATTTCTTAAAAAGACGTGACTTTTGAAAAAAAGTTCATCGTCTTATAATTTTCAAATTTTTGAATTTCCTGCCCTTTTAGAAACAAAAATTGAATTTTCAGGTCATCAAATACAACACTTACACTGTAATAAACAATATTTTATATATAATAAGTTATACTATTTCAACCATTCAGTATGATTTTTTGCATATATAAACCGTTAACCATTTTGAAAATTAGTGATGTCACGAGGATACGTCGAGATGTCATTCAGGTGGCAAAATGTTTTTTTCAAAAGGTGTCAATTTCTTTTCTCGTAAAAATATTTTTCAAATATGGTAAACTTTCAAAACTGTAGTAATATTGTTGGTCTATCTACTGTAGGTCGAAAATAAGTCTTTGTTTTCTTTGAATCACTTTTCTGCGCTTATGAATTAATTTCTTGCTTAGTTTTCACCCCAATTTTCTTATTTTTTCAACACAAAATAGCCTGGGATGTATGTTAAGCGTTATAATAACATGGGTTAAGATTATAATATAAGCCAAAGTGGTTTAAAGTTTATATGGGGCCTTTAATATCCACACATAGTCTGGTTTGATGTGGTTGTACTAGAATGAGCTCTGTTAGAATGTTTTATTGAATATAAAGCGTCATTGTTCTGGCTTATTATCATCTGTACTTCAACGTACAAGGCTGATTAAGGATGACACTATCATTTAGAATTTCTTGATAATAATTACTACTCAAATGAGTTCTAGATTAAGAAGTTTGCTTGGCTCTGAGACGTCGAACAGTTACAGTTATGTTAAACAATCTCAAAGAACACGTTTCATTAGAGAATCAATGTAGACCCACATTTGCTTTGCGGAACTCTAGCTATCTCTATCGCTTTAGGTAGCAACAATATAAATATCTTTATTTTCTTTCGTCCATCAAAATAGTTCCCATTTATTTCCAGTTTGTTTGCTTTTGTTTGTTTGTTTGTTTGTTTGATTGTTTGTATGTTTCCTTGTCTTATGTCCGTGTCTCTTGGTTTTACAAAATTCTATCAATTTGGCCAATTTAATACTCATGTCCTTCCTTAATAACAGGTCTTTGTCTGTTTCTAGTGCGATGACACAGATCCTACATATGCTCAATCCATGTTCACACCTTTGGGCTTCACATAATTTTACTAGAAATTTATTAAGTCCGCACCTGTATCGGAAATAATGTCCCTCGTTTTACCTATGGACTGCGATGTTATTCAATTAGTGATCTTTTTCAAGTTATATCCGCCGGGGAAAACCAGCTAAATAGTTCTCAAGGGCCTACTGATTTCGTGTTTAATAATTAAAAACACCCGTTTAGGTGTATCTTCCACGAATTGATGAATGTTACAAAAATATTTATACGTTTCTATTGAAATCAAAATCTGGGCTATAGGGGGTAACAAAATTTGCAAGCAACGTATACAAGTGACCTACAATTAAATACATCCTTCTTTGCCATCTCAATTTTAATATCTCCCAAAGGATCCGTGTTATGTTATCAATCGGTGACGTTCTTATTTAGGATTCAAAATTGCACAATTTGCCACAAATGTGTAAATCCTCCAGAATAATAAATTTGTATGTACTATGTAATTATAATGGGGATTTTTAAAAAGCAGACTTGACCAGGTGGATTTGAGCCCAAAATATTCTTAAAGTGAAGTGAAGATCAACAGTAGTTCAGGTCATTTTTTCAAATCAATGATGGGCTATAGTTGACTAGGCTTATGTCGCTGTTTAATTCATACAGAGAATGTGTATCTCGGTGTAATTAATACATAAAAGAATCCCCCTACATATATAAAAATAATTGATAATTCTTTTCTGAGAATGACTTGTCTTGTGATTATATCCAAAAGATAAGAGCGCGGGAGTACTAATTAACTAGTATAAATCAAACGACTCTTTTTATTTTTCAGAGAGGTCGCATGACAGTACTTCTCAATCATCGCTAAATGGCGCGTGGTAATCGGGTGATTGGTTGTATTTGTTTATTGATGAAATTCATGCATTATGACAATCAGTAGTACGTCAAAGTATCATTGGTATATCGTAGACATTCGTCACTGTAACAAAAGTGAATGGCTTGATATATGAACATCGGCTTCGTTTAAAAAACAAATTCTAATAGGAACATAACAATAATATTCTTAAACGAGACAATATTCTTTGAGCCAAGCTATAATCTGCAACTAGGATCGAGAAAACAAAACAAAAATCTTATCGAACTCAACTTCCTCCATTTTGTCACGTCAAAGTAACTAGTTGGAAGTTGCGCATGGGGATGGCCAATTTATTTGTTTATAGAAACTCAAAGCAACAAGCAGAAAAACAGATTCTGAAAGAGATATTCTGAAGTCCATTGTAGTAAACGCTAAACGTACGAAAATGTACATGTAGTTCATCAAACATCAAAAGGAAGTTCATGTAACCCCCCCCCCCCTCCACTACTTGTCTACACACTTTCCCAAACATGAGATGTGTGTATTGGGGATGGGGGTGGGGGGTTCAAAATGGCTTGTATCACAAATAACGAACACGATTATCCATTGTGAAATAAGCGTTTTTTTCATTTTTAGGTTCTAAAATAAGCCGGGGAATGTCCAAATGGAAACTGCTGACCTATTTTTGGAGATCAAATTTCGAACATGAGATGTGTGTATTGGGGATGGGGGTGGGGGGTTCAAAATGGCTTGTATCACAAATAACGAACACGATTATCCATTGTGAAATAAGCGTTTTTTTTCATTTTTAGGTTCTAAAATAAGCCGGGGAATGTCCAAATGGAAACTGCTGACCTATTTTTGGAGATCAAATTTCGAAGTCAAACTTAAATCGACCTCTGGGTGACCCCGGGATGGTGATTCAATTCAAATTAAACGGTTGAATTCCGAACGTCTCAATTCCAGGATCGAGATTTTCACCAATCTAGATTAATTTTCTAATTTCATGTTTTTTTGATACGTTTGTATTGACACGTGCTGGTGTGCTCACCTCCAGGTCATTCTGAAGTACATTCTGCCTTCAAGAAAGAAAAACAACTGCCGTGATATCTCATGATGGACAAAGGTAGATTTTCCGAAGTAAAATAAGTAAAATAAACTTGGAATTGTGATTAAAATGAAGAGCAAAGAACAGTGAGAGAGTTTGGGTAAAAGACCGACTACACCTGGACACAAGACGAGTTGGTATTTTCCATAGGTATCCTCAAAACAGGGTTCATAAAAATTCCGTAGTTGGTGTTTTTCTCCTATAGCTCAAAACAAGGTTTAGAAAATTGTGAAAATTGACAGCATTGGCATCATGGGCCCCCAAGAGCCCATGGTATTGGTCAACTGGTCCCCAAGACAACTCGTCCCCAAGGTAACTCGAAGTTATAGATACATATTGAGGGAATGTGACACACGCGCAAATTCGCACCCTAAAACATATAGTGGTGACGTTGCGCCCTTTCAATAGATCGCATACCTTGGCATAGCAGTAAAAAGTCATGCAAGGCCTTACACATTTTACTGTACTTGGGCTAATTCATTTATCGATTGTAAACGTCCTCCTGTTCTCACGAAAAAAGCAAATCTTGTAGTTTCGTTGAATTCATTTTAAATATCGTACAATCCCCCTCCACACTTACTGCACGGTGTATTTCCACTGACGTCTGGTTCCAATTTCCATAATTCCAAATGCATTTGTGTCATTCTTTGAAAGATAAAAGCTGATATCACGACAATAACATCGATATCGATGTAGAGCCCTCACACGTATAATATAATTGTTTTATAAAGTAGGACATTCCATTAAAAAGCAGAAATCCTGGGTTCTTCCGAGAAACCTAGTCACTTGACATTTTGAGCTAAAATGAGAAAATATACAATGATAAATATATGGAACCGACCATCCGATTTCTCGATGATTTCTTGGTTCAGAATATCACGTGACTAAATTAGGAAGATTAAAATGAGTTGAGTCTTCTCCAACAGAATTTCAAGAAATGACGAGGTAGTCTGATGGTATGATCCTTGCTCACGACTCGGTAGGGTAGTTCCCCGGGGGGTTCACTCCAATATACTTCTTAATACCTATGTGCCGCCCCAAAGACCCCCTTTTTGAGCATTTTTTCCATGGAAATTTCCTCTCAAGATAGAAGGTTTCCATGTTTAATTCCTCTGAGACTAATAAATGACTTAAAAATCTACTTTTCTAGTGATTTGTTCCAAGCCTCAGCAACTGATTTAACGAATTTAATACAATTTTCTGTAGAAAAACTGAATTTTGACTTAAAAAAGGGTACTTTTTTAGACAATTTCCATGTTTTTTCCTCTCAGATTGGCCAATTTCCATGTTTAATGCTCAAAAGCCTACCCAAATTATTTGGAG